AACAACAACAACAATTATTTTACCCGAACGCTCAGTGTTCTCACCAGTGCCAGGGTTTTCATGCGACGCGAGACAATACCCCCACTTCGTGGGGGGGCAGTTCAAGCTCTACCAAATATTCCAAAACGACTCTTCGCGACCACCCAAAACCAGCTTTCCGCCATTATGGACGTTGGGGAAACTTCACTTTCGTGGCGTGTCGGAACCCCCCCCGGGTACTACACTGGCGTGGAGGTACACACCCACAGAACTTGGTCACTTATTCGGGGCGCGTCGTGTCCCAGAACCTGCCAATTGTGACAAACCACACATGGACACAGACAGACAGAGAGAAGAGACAAGAGTAGCAGACAGAGAGAAAGACAGAGAGAGCGGAGTTGGTCACATTTTTGGGGCAAGTTCCTAAGATCGTCGTGTTTTTTGTTGGTCTTGCGCGCGCGAATGTCCACTTTACTTTTTTATGCAAGGGAGTATTGAAATTTGATTATGTTAGAACAAGAAAAAGTAGCTCGCGCGAGCTCATGTAACAGAAATGTTGAAAAACCATTGGTTTTGTGGGAGTCGGACAGCGCGCGCGGGATGAAATTTGGACATTTTTTTTTTGAAAAACCATTGGGTTTTTGATGTTTTTATGTTGAAATCGTTACGAAACCTAAGGTTATGTAAGGATTTCGTCTTGCGCGCGCGAATGTCCACTTTACCTTATTTTTTGCAAGGGATTATTGAAATTTGATTATGTTAGAACAAGAAAAAGTAGCTCGCGCGAGCTCATGTAACATAAATGTTGAAAAACCATTTGTTTTGTGGGATTCGGACAGCGCGCGCGGAAGGACATTTTGACAATTTTTTCTTAAAAAACCATTGGGTTTTTGATGTTTTTATGTTAAAATCGCTACGAAACCTAAGGTTTTGGAAGGATTTCGTCTTGCGCGCACGAATGTCCACTTTACCTTATTTTTTGCAAGGGATTCTTGCAATTTGATCAAGTAAGAACAAGAATTTTCAATTTCTATTGTTTTTTGCAAGGGAAACGAGCGTCAACAAAACAACCGGATCCGGACACAATCCACTTTTCTGAAGCTTTCGCGAAAAAATGATGAAAATGTAGCTGCGGCCTAGGTTTTGGAGGGGGGTCGTGCACCAGGGGTCCCAACAATAATTATTCTTTAGAAGTAATAATGTTCAACAACAACAACAACAACAACAACAACAACAACAACCACAACAACACAAAGAAAAAACAAAAAACAAACTAATAATAACAGCAACAACAACAACAATAACAACAACAACAACAACCACAACAACACAAAAAAAATAATATTTAAAAATATAAAAATAACTAATAATAATAATAATAAAAATAATATAATAATAATAATAATAATAATAATAATAATAATAAACACAATAACAACAACAACAACAACAACAACAACAACAACAACAACAACAACAACAACAACAACAACGACGACGACGACGACGACGACAACGACAACGACAACGACAACAGCAACAACAGCAGCAACAACGACAACAACAACAACAACCGCAACAACAACAACAACAATAACAACAACAACAACAACAACAACAACAACAACAGCAACAACCGCAGCAGCAACAACAAAAATCAAACAACTGAGCGCGGCACCTCTCCGCTCCGCCTCCAGTCCCATCGTCGACGATCTGCCGCTTCCATGCTACCTCGTGGGCAACGTCGGCCCGAAGAGCCCCGCGACTCGATCCGGCACGGGTGCCTCCGCCCGCCGTGCCCACGCCCCCGCCTCCCCGCCCAGGCATCGACAAGAGAGCACAGGAGGGAGGAGGGCGGGGGGAAGGGGGGAGGGGGGAGGAGGGAGGAGGGAGGGGGGGAGGAGGGAGAGGGAGGGGGGGGGGAGGAGGGAGGGAGGGCGGGAGGGGGGCGGGGGGGGAGCGGGGAGAAGGGGGGAGGAGGGAGGAAGAAAGGAGGGAGGGGGGAGAAGGGAAGGAGGGGGGAGGGGAGGGGAGGAGGGAGGAGGGAGCACTGGATGCTTCCAAAAGGGGACGGCGCCCCCTCGAGTGCTCGGCCCCCCTGGGGCGCCCGCCGCCGGGCACGCAGAGGTGGGCTGCTCCTGGGCCGGACGGCGGCCGCTGGGGAAGCGGTCGGCAGCGCCGGCGGCCGCGAACCCCACAGATCCGACGCCGTGATTTTCTCAATACGGGGTCCCGAGGACCCCCCCCCCAGAGGCCGAAAGCTGTGCCGAACACCTCCCGCCATGGGATTCGTCGGGACTCAAGAGGGGGTCCGGGTCCACCCCTCCCGCGGGGCCCCAGGGCACCAACAGGGCGCGTTTCAGCAGCGGTGGATGTGCGTGTGTGTGTGTGTGTGTACAGACTGATGTTCCCATGGCGCCCCAGAGGCCGAAAACAGCGACGAGAACCCTCGCCGTCGTGATTTTTTCATTGCCCGAGGACCCGGAATTCCAACGTAGCGACAACGCTGCAACATCGCCAGACATCGCGACCAGAACCCCGGACCTCCTCTTCCTGCGGCACCCCTCGAGCCAGGTCGAGCTGCGAGGGCCCCGGGGCCCGACCGGAGGCGAAGGCGCCCGGCGCGAGAACAGATGGAGACGCCAGAACCTCAGGGATGGCCCGAGGACCCCGAGGTCCGAGGCCGTGATTTTCTCCACGCGGGGTCCCCGGAAGCCTCGACCCCTTCGTCGGGACCGCTTCCTCGTCCCGCGTCGTCTTTTGGCGGTCCCGGGGCCCCGCGAGGGCACCTGTGTCGGGGCCGAAGACAGCGACCAGCCTCCCGTCGGGATTCTTCTTCGCAGCGCGAGGGGGTCTGGGCCCGTCCGCGAAGGTGCGGTGTGAAGCTTGGTCCCCGAGGGGGAGGAGGAGGAGGAGGAGGAGGAGGAGGAGATCCGAGGCCGTGATTTTTTCCATGCGGGGTCCCCAGAAGCCTCGACCCATTCCCCGGGACGGGTTTCTCATCCCGAGTCGTTTTTTGAGGGTCCCAGGGCCCGGCGAGGGCCCTTATAGGGGCCGAAAATAGCGAAAAGCCTCCCGTCGTGATTTTTTCACAGCGCGAAGGGGGTCTGGAACTGGAACACATCACAGCCTTCCCGCGTAGTAAGGACGCCTTGCTGGTGAAGCCCCCCCCCCCAGACCCCCTCGCGCTGTGCAAAAAACACGACGGGGAGTGTTTCTATATGTTCGGCCTCTGGGGGCCCTTGCCGGGCCTCGGGGCCGTCAAAAGACGACTCGGGATGAAGAACCGGTCCCAGGGAAGGGGTCGAGACCTCTGGGGTCGACGTTGGGAAAAAGACGCGACGTAGGGGGTCTGGGCCTGCTGGTGAGCCCCCACTGGAGCTGCACGACAGCGCCAGCCAAGATCGGCCCCGAAGGCTCCTGACGACCGGGCCAGCGAGGCTCCGAGTGGCCTCAGGGGCCTTAGATCCTCTCCTTCAGCAGCGTTTCACCGACCACCCACAGTCAGCCCGTAGAGCAAGGACGCACGATGAGGACGCAAGGGTCTTGGAGGGCCATGTCGACACTCTGCGAGCGGGGCGCGGCCAGCGAAAGCGGCCAAGGATGGGCCGAGGGGGAAGGACGCAAGGGTGACCTTGGAAAGTCGCTCGTCCTTACGAGGCGGGTTGGCTGCAGAGCAGCGGACGTCAGGGCACGGCTCGCCCGCTCGCCCACCGAGCCTGGGAATCGGCAAGGAATGGTGAGAAGACCGCCAGAGGCTGCTGGCCGGGAAGCCTGCGAGCGCCCAAGCTGAACACGGAAGCGGATGGCGACGTCTCTGCTCGACTCGGCCTCGGAAGACTCCCACGACCACACCGCGTCCGTGGGTCAAGGCCCTGACGCGGATCCAGAGTGGGAGGCAAGGTCTAGGACGGTGAAATCCTCGGAGAGGTAACTGACTGCGCTCTATGGAAGCAGTCTAGCAGGCCCGAGACTCTTCCCAACGATGCTTCGCAAAGAGCGCCGCCGAAACAGAACGGTCTCATCGACCCCGCTGCAGGTCGCCACCCCCGACGGCAGCAGCTCGCACGGCGAGTTCCATCTCGCAGTGGGCGTGAGCTGATTTGCGGGTGGCCCTCGAAGTCCTGCCGGCACAGCTTCGGCCTTCTCAGAACTCCTTCTGAAACTTTGGACGCCCGAAATGGGCACGGAAAGACTGGGTCCAATGCCCAGCAACAGATGCTGCCCCGAACCAGAAGCGGCCGCCGTTGGGCAGGCGGCCCTCCGCCTCGTGGACAGCAGGTCCTGCTCAAGATGAGCAGGAACCCTAAACCCTAAACCCTAAACCCTAAACCCTAAACCCTAAACCCTAAACCCTAAACCCTAAACCCTAAACCCTAAACCCTAAACCCTAAACCCTTAAACCCTAAACCCTTAAACCCTAAACCCTAAACCCTAAACCCTAAACCCTAAACTGCAGGCGCGGACCTGGGGGCGCGCACCGCCACGCCTGTAAGGATCTGCTAGTGAGAGCGAGCTGCAAGTCGAGCTCACCGCGACCATAGGCCTGCCGGCCCGAGGCTGTGCTTCGCTTGCACAATGATAACCCCTAACCCTCGGCCGGATGCTCGCGGATACCGCTCAACTTCTCCCCCAGAGCTCTCCCCCAGAGCTCTCCCCCAAATCTCTCCCCCAGAGCTCTCCCCAGAGCTCCCCCCCAGAGCTCCCCCCCAGAGCTCTCTCCCAGAGCTCTCCCCCAGAGCTCTCCCCCAGAGCTCTCCCCCAGAGCTCTCCCCCAGAGCTCTCCCCCAGAGCTCTCCCCCAGAGCTCTCCCCCAGAGCTCCCTCCCAGAGCTCTCCCACAGAGCTCTCCCCCAGAGCTCTCCCCCAGAGCTCTCCCCCGGAGCTCTCCCCCAGAGCTCTCCCCCAGAGCTCTCCCCAAG